TGGCCGGATATCATGACCGGGACGTGGGACCAGTTTCCGATGGTGGCCCGCTTATGGACTGCGGAGTTGCAGCGGCCGCCCTCTGGGGTTCCTCCCATGTGTGACCATTACTACATGGAATGGTTCAACCGGTATTCGCACCCGAGGTTGATCGCAGATCTCGACCACAGCGATAATGATTATGTGCCACCGCCTACTGCCATGGAAGTGGTATGTCTCATATTATATTTATCGTTGTCTTTTAATTAAGTTTTATATGTTGTTATTGTATTTCATCTTTTGTTTTTTGTTGTATGCAGTGGATGGGAAAGATAATGCAGGACGTACAGAAACTCTCTCTTGAGAATGACAGCATGAGTGCAACAGGGAGAGCTGTTGTTGATAGTCTGGAACAGACCCTTGCGCAGTGGGAGTCGTCGTCGAGGAGGGATTACTGATGGTTTTGTCATTTTATTTATAGAGCACTTTAAATATTATCGTTTTAATTTATTAAATTGTACATTATGTTGTAAGTTTGTAACATTTTAGATTGTTCTTTTAGCTTCCAACTTAAACATATTATCATTGCTGTTTTTAAATTTTGATAAAACCGTTCGTGGATCCGCGCAACTTACCCATGCAACATATAGAATGCAGTAAGCAATACAATATAAAAGATTAATGTTCTCATTAAAAGAGCAACGTACAAATAAGATTACATAAGAAGAATGTAAACATGAAAAACTAAAATGCAGCTAGGGTGTTCCATTCGTGGATCCGGTCATGATATAGCGCATCCCAACCCTATACGCTCGCTGTGCGAATGTTGTACCACCGAGGTATAATCGGTGGCACAGGAAAATCGGATGACATGTCTAGTCGGATGAAATGTCTGTATGACGACCCAAGAAACGCAATAGCTAGCTCTCTGACCGGTGTGGTGACAGTCTCACGCGACCGCCAAGGGAGAACCGTGGTACAAGGATAATAAGCTTGACTATGCACTCCCAGGCCGAAATGCATGACTGCGCATTTGTAAATGTTTGCAACGGCAAACAGATCTAGTGGCGCGTCAAAATAATGATTTTGGCCGCAAGGTCCACCTCCCCACCGGATACGCCGCAGAGCGCCATCCAAGTCATCCAGGTACACATGACGATAAACATTTCGGTTAGAGGCAATTTCGCTGTACATCAACTGACGCACCAAACTGTAGTTGTCTTCGCCCATTTGAAAAACATCAGCCACGACCCGGAATCCGCAGTTACCATCTCCGACTACATCATTCCACCCTTCCAAGTACGGCATGATGATCGCAGGTATCCTTTCCTTGTACGGAAACTGATCAACATCGTTTCTTCCTATTCACCATATAATTATAGACAGTTAAGAAGGCAGGAGTAACACTTTAAAACTATGTGCAATGTAAACAACCAAAACGTACCAGTTCTCAGGGGCATATTCACATACGATGAAGATTGACTACGACTAGATGGCGATGTCCGACCACGAGCACGACCACGACCAAGACCACGGATATACTCAAACGCACTCTTGTTCCGCCGTTGTCGACCTCGAGGACGGTCAACTCCTTTGGGTTCCTCATAATCTAAGGTAGACGTGTGGAACATGTCATGAAGTACATGAGTAGCATCACGAATAATAGAAGGATGGCTGGAGGACACTCGGTCGTACATCGAACGAAACTGCTCCAACTCCTCATGTTCACGGTCGGTCGTTTGAGTGTCTGCATGCTAACCAATAACGAGCGTCCTCAGAATGAATGGACCTGATCAACATGTAACGACGCCCTTTCTTCTGTAATAACGCGGTGAATGGTGCATGCGCAAGGTAATCCATGAGTTACTGAAATAGCACACCCACACCGAGCATACACTTCGTTAGCCAAGTCCCTCATCCTGTTCAGCTCAGTGAGAATCAACCCCAAGCAGTAGTGCGACACACGACCATGGAGAATCTTAAATATAAAATGGCTATACATCGTACCATGTCGTCGTCTGGAGTCCTCTAGAGAGTTCCTGATGTCGTTCTTCTGAGTTTCAATTGACTTGTTAAGTCTATCGAACTGTGTATCCAAAGCAGCGGTCGATGAATCAATCAAGTCCTTGGTAGCTCTATGAGCGCTCTCAACTCTACATGTTGTAGTGTTCCCGAAATGAAGTACCTGGTTTGTCCAATATTTGACAAACTTTTCCCTGTGAGGGACCCATTGCTGCATTACATAGTCCACCAGTGCCGGACACCACTGGTACGAATCCCTGAAGTTAGCCAATGCTCGCTCATACGCTTCCTCTGTGGTAGCCTGTAGGATCTTCCGCCACTTACCATTCACCAATCTCTCTGCCATTTCCAAATTCTTGTTGAAAAGGTTGTAGGCTTTCACTTTCACGCAGTTGTTGATGTGCCATGTGCACAATAAGTGGTTCGATTCTGAAAGCAGCTCTGCTATGGGGGCAAAGAGACCTCCCTCACAGTCGCTGACGATGGCTGCTGGATGAACATTAGGCCCGATGTAGTTTCTCAGCTTCTCCAACACCCAATAATAACTTGGAGCCGTCTCATCCTTGATGATTGCATGACCAATCAGAAAGTTCTGGTTCGTTGGAGTCATCCCCATGATCTCAACCAGTGGAAACTTGTACTTGTTTGTCTTGTACGTTGAGTCGATCAAAATCACAAATGGCCAAGACTTGATCATATCAGCACAATCAGGATGCACAAGGAAAAGATGAGTCACCTCCGCTGTATCTTCATCAGAATCAAACCAGAACAGGTAACCACGTGATTATGCCTGGTGTAGCAGCTGCTGTATAGGGTTCCTTCCCTCTAACCGTTCAAACATGAGTTGCTGTCTGACGTTGTAGATGTGTCTTCGGTTTGGATGGTCTTCTGGAAATTTCTCTAACACAGATGCTAATATTTTAGCAGGCTTGACTTGAGCATCACTCATTTCTTTCACAACTAGTTTCGCAGCAGGACTTAAGCCGCTCAGCTGTCGATGACCCTCTTCATATACTATCATCTCATGGTTGTGATACCCCCATTTAGAGTAACCAATCACTTCCCAACCGTCACGACTCCGTAGTTGTCAAACCTTTACTCTGAACTCACACCCACAACCTTTCCGCTTTGTATCAAACCGAGTGGCTGTACGAAAATCTCTTTCTTCTCTTTTGCGATAACGGTCACATCTCAAAATGCGATCCATTCTACCATCCCGTTGAGATTTATGAGTTACTACTACCAAGCAAAATCCAGCTGCAATTGCAACTTGTTTTGCCCAATCAATCGCATGTTGAGCTTCTTCGAACGGACCATCATGTCCAAATATCCCACTGTAATCATTTCCGTCTCCACCATAATCCTGCATCAATTATATATTACAATAAATACATTTAACGGATAATACATTTAATTTCTATATTTACACAGAATTAACACAAAAAAAAAAAGCATAATTATGTATAATCAAACTTAATTTTTATAAAAACCCAATTCGAATTTTCAAACTAAATTTAAAAATATACCATTTCGAATTTTCAAACTTAATTTTAAAAAAAACCTATTTCGAATTTTCAAAATTAATTTAAAAAAAACCCATTTCGAATTTTTTTAAAAAATCATTTTCGATTTTTTTTAAAAAAAAAAATAAATTAATTAATTTATAAGGGTGGCGTCTGCCAGGGCTGCCACAGCCACTGGACTGGCGCCTGGCAGGGCCGCCTCAGCCAGTAGAGTGGCGCCTGGCCAGGACGCCAGTCTGGTGGTTCTGGCGTCTGGCTTGGACGTCCAGGCTACGGTTTGGGGGTCCATCCTAGGCGCCGGAGCCACTCCCACGGTAACCGTGAATTTTAACGGTGACTTACCTCGTTTTCCGTCGACGACGACGTACCTCCGGCGTCCCCCGCATCTCCGGCCTGCCCTCCAGTCTCCCCCGACGAGCCAGTACGACTCCACATTTTTTAAACCGAGATTATTTCAATTTTAGAAAATGGGCATAATGGTCACACCAAGTCATATTTGTGGGCTTTATATGGTAATTTGCGGGCGATGTTTAGCGATTCATATAATTTATGGGTTACATTCGGGCCTAGTTATCTCCATGTCAGTTTAGTATGCCTGGATTCCATGTAATAATTAAGAGGATAATATTTAATGGTGCTAAATTTATTGAGGGAATAAAACAGGGGGTAATATTTCATTTTTCATAGTTTGGCAACAAAACTGTTGTAGTAATTATGGAAGAAGAAATCAAGAATAAGCAACAACTATGAGTAGAGGAGAGAGAATATATAGATGAGAATAGAAGAAGATATAAGCAAAAATGGAGATGAAAAAGATGAATAGGAGAGAAGACCAGAGGAGGGAGATGTGAAGGAAGGCAGAAGAGGCACATGAGAGTAGTAGGTTGGAAAATTTTTCGAGGAGGAAAAAGTTACTCTAGGGGGGGGGGGCTAGGTAACATTTACCCCATTTTCTGGGAAATTATTTACCCACTTTATTTGTTTCTCCAATGTCAAACCCATTTTTATTTCCAGAATAATTACTCTTGTATTTTTTCCTCCCCCATTCCACCCAATCCAGGCGACCCCTAAATGAGGAAATCTCTATCTTGAATTATGCAATTATGATTTATGGTTTTTCAAAAAAAAAAAAAATCAAAAAATTTAAATAAGGTAAACTAATTATGCATTATTTTGTACTTTAATGTTAGATTCCAAATATTCATTTTTTTTTTATGTGATTGATTCTATTGGGACTAACGTTATGAAACGGAGGGAGTATTATGTTATTGATTAGTTATTAGTCCATGACTAAGAATATACTTAAAAAGACAGGTGGTTTAGATTCAAGGAATTAGGTTGTATATATAATCTTCGGTGAAGCATCTAATGAAAGATTGGGAAAATTAATTGTCAAAATCACAACAATATTAGTTTATTTTGACCTTTCCATATAAATGGCTAAGCTACTACATTAATGAATATTACACAAGTGTATAATTATAAATAATTGTTGAAGTTATGCATTTGCATACATGACTATAAAATTATTACAATTAATCTGATACTCACTATCCAAATTCCAAACCCAATCCGAATGTATGTAGAAAGTAAATAACATGAATGTATGTTTAAATAATTTAAACTCAATGAAAGTGATTGGGAATGATAAGGATTTCCACCCCTTAATGCCTATAGGGTATTTAAACCTAAGACTTCATAACCATGACGTCAAACCCTTACCATTAGACTAATCGGTGATATATGTCAAATACTACGTATGTATAAATTGTTAGGATACAATTACAAATAAAATCTGCACATTCAAATTATACCCAAATTCCACCTCCTATGTAATCTCATGGACTCATGATGTCTTGGCGGCAAGATGTGTCATTGTTCGCCGATGGTACAAAGATCGCAGTTTTTTGTGTTTCTGAAAAAATGCTGCAAGCTCAATCTCCCTTTCTAGGAATTGGCTGTGAAGGTTATCAGAATCTTCATCTGTCTTGTTTGTTTCCTCTGAAATTTAATAGCATATAATAAGATAATACTCCCTCCGTTTCATATTACTCGCAACAATTAGTAAATATGGGTGTTTCACATTACTCGCAACAAGTTATTTTTTTCCCTTTTTTAGTAAGTTTTTAGGGGTGAATTGTCTATATTGCCCTTACTTATTTTGATTAATTTGTTTTAACAGAAATTAAACAAATTCACTTAATCCTAAATCTAATCAATTAAGTCTAACCATTCCCACCAAAATTAATCCCCCTTCTACTTATTTCATCATAGATCATTCATCTCCCCAACTAACTCATTCATTGCTTCTTATTCAATTCGTCTTGATTATGGTGCCCAGTTTGAACAAATTGTGAGGAATTCTCCAGAATTCCTTTATAAACCCTAGATCTACCTTCACAGTTCGTATTCTCTCTCCTCTACACTCTTTCGTCTCTCCTTGGTTCTCTCTCTAAAACCCTAAAAATTTCCCAAATGAGTTCCCCTCCAAATGAGAACGATTCTCTTGCCCAGAAGGAGGATACTAACCCTCCCTTCTCACTATACACAGCGCGGCGAGGAACTAGATTCATGAAACCAGTTCGTCGCTGCTCTCTGGTGTTCACTAGGTATCTTCGACGGAATTTTGGGGCTAAAATTGGCCCCAATACTAGATGTTGTTGTGGAGGTAGATCTACCAAAACCTAAGGTTGTTGAGGCTGAACCTGCTTCAGTTGTAAGTGTTGCTGGTCCTTTAGCTTTGACAGAAGAGGCAACTGAGGGCCCTCATCTGGTGGTGGAGGCTAGGAGTGACCCTGTTCTTGCCGTCGCTGAGGTCCCTCAGTCCCCTCACCCCGTAGCCGTTGTGTTTTCGGAGCCTTTGAAGGCTACCGTTGCTTCTGGGTCTTCTGGGTCTTCTAGAGGCAAGAAAAGGGTCCGATCCGTCTTCATGGAGGACTGCAGCGACTGGGACCCTGAGTTGAGGGAGAAGTATCCTCATGACTTCCCTCCTAGTAACTGACCTTGCAGCGTAACGATTCCTATCTAAATATTGTTTATTTTTTACTAATTAACCTATGTTTATGTGAAAATGGTTTTGGTTTGATAATATGTTTAAAAATCTTGTTGAATTTGTGAGTATGTTGTATTTCGCTGGAATTTGGGTTAATGTTGCTTGTGTTATGCTCTATGCTGGTTCAATTTGCTGCCTTTCATGTTGGTGTTGGTGCTTGCACATTAATTGTCCTATTGTTGTTGTTGTTGTCCTCTGTGTTGGTAGTGACTTTGATATACTTGTAAGTTGTTGTTGGTGTTGTCTGCTATGATTGACTCGTTTTGGTGTTGTCCTGGTATAGTATCATGTTGAATACATGTTGGTTGGCCTGTCATGGATTATTGAGTCCCTCGGCCCTTGGGTTTTGGTTGCCAAGTCTTGTCCCTCCTAACACATGCATCATAACACAAATGTACTCTCCAAATGATGAAGGGACTCATCTGATAGCACTTCCTATCAAGGGATGGCTCCAACTCCTTAGTTTAAAGGTTGTTATTGAGGAACCCTTGGTAGGGAGTTTCCCATGTTTAACACACTCCTATCTGATGGACATTCCTCCCTAATTAGTTTGTTATTGTTACATGCTTGTGTTAATAGGGTTGTGTTAAGACAGATAAAAGCGTTTGAGTTAATAGGGTTGTTTCATATTCAAAATATGCACAATGTACATTAGTCCTATGTCATATACTCTACACTTCAATGACTGGCTTAATAATTTTCCTATCCTATTTACCAAAAGACACATAACCAATATAAAAACAAGCAAAAAAAAAATAAGTTGAGGTGTTACTGGTTATGTGTGGCAGTCAATGGAGTTGTGTAGGTGGTACTTGCTGCATCTTTAAAACCAAAAATATCTGTTCTGCTTCACTTAATCAAAAAATTGCTTCTTCATCTTCATCTTCAACTTCAAAATGTTTGTGCACATCAGACTTGGAATATTAATCTGCATCCACTTCCATCTCAATTGGTTGTTCCTCAATTTCTGTTGTAGGAATGAAAAGAGTGTTGAGGTAGTTCACAGTCTGTGTGATGAGGTCCCTGTCTACTTATAGTATTTACTTGTAGTATTTCCTGGAGAACTCTCTATCTTGTCTTTGTTTTGCCATATGTGGGGGGTTGAAATTATTGTCCTGTTTTTTTTCCAATATCTTTATCATGCATGACTGAAGAGTGATCCATGTGTACTTGTTGAGTGTTGGATCAAAAACATCAAATGCATGTGCAACCTTTTCCAAAAGTTCATCCAAATTCTTTGGGAATGATTGATACTGTATTGACTGTATTACCCTGAAAAGACCAAGATCCAATACATTTAGGTAAGGGGATTGGCAGGTTGAAATACAAATTGGATATTAAATCCATTTGCTTGTGTTGCAGCCAGAAATTCCTCTCCCTGGGAATCTGATGAGGCCTAGCATTGTCCCACTGTATGATTATGTTCTTAGATAATAGTGCTGGCCATTGTGCATGTATTGTTGGAATGATGTGCTGCAATATCATGTCTCTTATTGCTTGTCTGTTGACTTTTTGAATTGCTTTTGTTTTCATTGTTCCTGCATCTCTGTGTTTGCTTTTCTTCTTGGCCATCTCATACTTAACAAATGGGAATAGACCATATTTCCCTGAGTGAATCAATGTGTCATTCTCATCATACAGTGGCTTACCAATCATTCCCATAAACATGGCCTTTATCTTGAACCTCTTTGATTGTTGTGCTCTGTATGGTGTTTCTTCATTAGGTGTTACGTAGAATGTCCTAGTCTCTGGATTCATATAAAACCACTTCTCATCAATGTGGATGTAATGCTGCAAATCCCTAAAACTAGGGTCACCTTCACTAGGCAGGGGTTCACATGGTTAAGGACCCATTTCAGCCTTGCCACTTTGTGGTTATCACTAAATGCAGGGTGATTTGTTGTTGTCACTGCCCTCAGTCTTCCTTTTTTTTTTAACCTATGTATGACAACATGTGGAACCTTCAATGCTGCAGCATAACTCCCATTTGTGGTTCTCTTGTACATTGGGACAGACATCAGCCACTCATCTGAGTATTGTTTAGGCTTGGGCCCTGTCTTCCCTAACTTCTTGCTCCTTACATCGACTAAGTTGCCTAATTGAATCTGTTTTTTGATTTCTTTGAACCACCTGCTTGTGGTTGATCTGTGTACTTGGTGCTTGATTGTCAATGATGTAAGCATGCCTCTTGGAAGTGAGTCCCCTTCCATATTCAGCAATATGTCATCTACTATCTGCCTTTTTTCTTCAATGTTGAGTTCTGTGCTGTGTCTGCCATTCATTGCATGCTCCTGTTCGTCTTCTGATTCTGACTGTGATTCCCCAACATCACTGCCTTCAATGTTGTGTTGATGATTTAATTCGTTTGAATCTGACCCTGATACTGTGTTGATGTATTGTGATGCCATATCTCTATATTGCTCCATCAACAGTTGGTTGATATCGAAAAAATCATCAAAGATTTCTTCCATGAGTCCCCTCTTTTTTTTTTTCCAGATCTGGTGGTAGGTGATGAAGTGGAGGTGCCTTGATTTTTTTTTGGAAGCTTTCAGTGAAGCCTAATTCTGTACAAAGAGCAGCTGCTGCAACTAACTCAGCATTTAGGAATTAGGATTAATTAAGGTTGATGATGGTTTTTGTACTTTTGGAAACAATTTGGTTTGGATTTCTGTAATTAATGGTGGATTTCATATTCCCTCCCCCCCCCCCCCCTATTCCCAAGCATTTGCTATGAATGAATAGGGGTGAATGAATCAAAATTGTGCCTTTTATAAGGGCCTTTTGGTTGAAAATTGCCAACAAATTGTTAAAGTTCAAAGCTTTTTTAAAAATTTCATGAAAAGTTTGGAGGGAAAATTTTTTAATCCCTTTAGTGGCTGTCCAAATTGAATCCGCCACCAAAATCAGAACGAAAAAAGGGAGGGAACATAAATCCCTCTTCAAAAATAATCACATGTTCCCACTACTTTTATTGGGACCACTACCTTTCCCTCCACTTTCTCTCTCTTTATTTACAAACCCCTTCCTTTAATTAATCCTCCTCCAATCTTTTGCCTAAAAGTCCGCACTCCCTCCGTTTGTTGCGAGTAATATGAAACGGAGGGAGTAATACATTTATTAAAAAGCGGATAATAATTTTTCTGATGAACTTTCTATACAATAAACCCTGCACACTACAATTTCACTAAAACCTGATACTTGATGCAAAATCATATAACCTTATCTAAGAAACAATGGCAGACTGAGTCTTCACCAATGATGCACGGGTACGCCAATGGAGTGCCGTTTCCCGTACCCGAAACGTATCAGGGACGGGTACGGTGCGAGTACGCTTAGGATACGTCCCCAAACCGTCCCCTTCAAAAGTGGTACGCCAAGGCAATTTGGGGACGTTTAGCATCTTGATCAGAAACGTATCGGGTACGAAAAAACCCAAATTCTGACGTTTCCTATGAAACCCACCCATATTTAAAAAAAAAAAAAAAAAAAAAAAACAAATCAGTATAATACCTACCTAAATGTGGATTTCCCCCAATTCTCAAAAGCCTTAAAACTTTTAAACTCTGATTTTGTTCCTCCAATGGTCGGATCTGATTCAAGGCGGCAACTAGAGCATTGATACACGGAATGCGGGACGACGGCTCGTTCGGGTTGTGGTGGTTCGCAATCAAGTTTGTGTTTTTATAAGGCGAAAAATTTTTCTATTTTCTAAAGTTTTTTAGATTTAATTAAAGTTTTAAAGTCCATTTATGGAGAAAAATGAAGAAAGAAGTGAGTAGAAGGAAGGTCATTGACGGCTAACTTGATTTTTACAATAAAACAAAATGGTTGAGTGGTGGACCCCGCCCTTTTTATCTTTTCTTTTTACGGCTATTTCATCAAATGCCACTGAGCAATTTAAAAATTCACCAAATGCCATCGGACTTTTCATAATTCACCAAATGCCACCAAGTTTTTTAAAAATTCACCGGGAGCCATTAATGACCGACGGCCGTTAACTCCGTTAGTCATTAGGGTTTAATCATGACACTTGTCATGAGATGATTGGACCATTTATCTTAATTCATAAAAAAATTTTAAAAAAAAAAAAACAAAAAAAGTTAAAAAAAATACAAAAAATCAAAAAATAAAAGAAAAATTTTTTTAAAAAAAACCTCCAAATTTTCCCAGCCACCCCCACCACCACCAAACCCTAGCCCCTCCCCTCATCTCGCCGGAAAACGACCGGTCACCACCTTAACCACCAACAATCGGCCGGCAGACCCTAAAAAAACCTCAAAATTTTCCCAGCCACCCCCACCACCACCAAAACCTAGCCCCTCCCCTCATCTCGCCGGAAAACGGCCGGTCACCACCTTAACCACCAACAATCGGCCTGCGGACCCTTTAGCTCCCCATCTGACCCACCGCCGACCCCCAAAACCTCCCTCACAAACTACCCCGACCCCATAAAACCGCAAACACGAGCATCACCCACCCCAAAAACCACCCACACAGCCGCCTCGACCCCAAAAACCACCAGTAAACAGCCCCTCCTCCCTTTCCCACTGTCGATTGCCCCTCCTCCCTTTTCTCACCGTCGAATCGGCGGTGGGAAAAGGGAGGAGGGGCTTTTTACTAGTGGTTTTTGGGGTCAGGGCGGATGTGTAGGTGGTTTTTAGGGTCGGGGCGGGTAGCGTGGGTGGTTTCGGGGGTCGGCGGTGGATCAGGTGGGGCGCTAAAGGACCGGCCGGCCGTTTTTTGGTGGTTAAGGTGGTGGCCGACCGTTTTCCAGCGAGATAAGGGGAGGGGCTAGGGTTTGGCGATGTGGGGGAAATTTAGGGTTTTTTTTTAGTTTTTTGTTTTTTTTCATATAATTTTATGAATTAAGATAAATGGTCCAATTATATCATGACATGTGTCATGATTAACCCCTAATTACTAACGGAGTTAACAGCCGTTGGTCATTAATGGCACCTGGTGAATTTTAAAAAAACTGGGTGGCATTTTATGAATTCTGAAAAGTCCGATGGCATTTGGTGAATTTTCAAATTGTTCAATGGCATTTGGTGAAATAGCGGTTCTTTTTATTATTACTCCTAGTTTTACTCTATGTTGAGATTGTCGACTATGTACAATTGTTTATCTTTTCTTTTTATTTTTATTTTATATTTAGTGCCTGGTTTTTAGTTATGTGTTGATGGTAATGTACAATTACCTTTTTACAAGTATTTATTTTTTGGTTAGATAGCTTATTTTTATGGAGTACTTTTCAATTAAAGTCTAATAAATTTAAAAGTTTAATAAAAAAGAAAAATCTAATTTTAAAGTTGTGTTGTACGGATTAATTTTTTTTTTTTTTTAAACTTTTTTATGGATTTTATATATATATTTTTGTCGTATCCGAGCCATACCCGTTTTTTGAAATTTTGATTTTGCCGTATCCCGTACCCGTATCCGTTTTTGTCCCCGTATCCGTATCAGTGCAACCTAGGTCTTCACTATCCACATCTTTCTAATTAGACTCGGATTATAGCCAGGTATGGTGTGCTGATACTTACCTTGCAGTCTGTGCAGAAGAGATGCTGAAGAGTAGCACTTCAAGAGATCTTCCTTTTTCTTCTCCAAGTCATTTAGTTTCTCCAGGGCTGAAGCTAGCTCAGTTGTCCGAATGATTCTACACTGCAGCAATACAATAAAGATCAGAAAAAGTATCAACAACTTTTCCAAAAACAAAAAAACACAAACTAGTCTTTTATAGTTATTATATGAGTGAAACTCACTTGATTTCTCAGCTCCACAATTTGTGGCTCTTTGTCCAAATTTGATCCTAACAGAACAAAAAATTTGTAAACATCACATCATTCACAACTCACAAGTCACTGACTCATTTTTAACAAAACCTGTATCAAAAATATTTGACTTACTGGCAAGATGGAGCATTTCCTTCTTTAATTCATCCCTAACCTGATCATAGCAAAATAGATTGGTCAGAAACATGAAAGCAACATCAAAAGCTTTATAGCAACAGAGGGTTGATCTATGAGACAAGGCACAATAAGGGATCGGTTCATGCGACATTACTATGACAGGGACTAATCCAAGATGCAAACTCAAAATAGAGAAAATTCCAAGAAACACGACATATCTATATCAAATACCAAATACAGTACATTATCTAAAGCAAACATCCAAAACCCCAGAAATTGATGATTAACTCTATAATCATCAAGTTTAACCCCACTACAAATCCTATACACTACTCAACATTTCAAACTTTGGGAGACGTGCACAGATATCTTTTATATGCTTCACATTCAAAAAAGCATTGTAGAAGATATGTGTAAGTGGAATATGGAGAACTTTAGATCATCACAAATAATTGTTATTAAACATACAGGATTCACCAAAGAAGCAAACTGGATTTTTGAATCAGATTCTGATCAGATTATTTCGCATCAAGTTAAAATCTATTTTCTTCATAAGACCATCATCACTCATGGTATAAAAATTTATACCATCCCATTCTCTCTGCCACTTTCTCACTCCTCCACATCATTTATACCACAATACAATATACTTTCTCCAAAAATCACCCCACCCATGGTATTAAAAAAGTTTACCACCACACTTTCTCTCTCCTATATGTATTAATTATACAATTAATTTAATTATAATTATATTTTATTTTACTATTGGAAATAACTAATTAATGTTTGTAAAGTTAATCAAATAAAATAAGCAATTTAGGTACTCCCTCCGTCCATGAAAAAATGATCCATTTGGCCTAATTTTAGTCCCAAAAAGAATGACCCATTTTTTTTTCCCAACATCTATTCATTTCCCTTCCTTTTAAAAGTGCCAACTTGGCAATCTTGTGTATTTTAATTATATTGGTTGTTGTAAAACAATACTTTAATCTTATTGGCTAATAAAACATCACATGGATAATTATTTACTTTATAATTTTTTCTTAAAATGCAATTGAAAAAAAAAACATATAAAAGATACATGATAACCAGGCCACATGGCGTGACCAAGTTGGTTTATGTTACGCCGGGACCAAAGCAAATGTTTATCATGCGATGGTATATACCATTCTATGGCATACTTTTACACCACCATTGTAGTAAAAATTATCATATTTTGGATAAATATTTACACCGTGGTATAAAATTATACCACGGGTGTTCGATTCTCTAAATTGTTTGGGTTTGCAAGAGTTCAGAATCTTTAGATCTAGCACTACTCCAGATTGGATTGGAACTAACCCCAAATGTATCAGGTATTATCGGTTCACATAAATTTTTGCTAAGCTAATTTTAAGACTGAGCTTTGATTCAGGCATGAGGTTCCATACCACTTTAACCACATCAATGTCAATGTTTGATACAATCAGTTTCCAACAACAAAGGTCCTTAGGCATGATGACTTACAAGTTACAACTCCCTCATGACCCGTCCCTTTATTTCATTCTCAGAGAAACTCATTGATCGTGGAGCCAAAACTTTTACTATCAATTCTTACCTATATATTAATAAAAGAAAAACAATTATCAAATTTTGGGGAGGTGGAGGGAACGCATCATATTGATTTTTTACACTATTCACACACCCAATTTGACCATGTACCTAGGGGTGAATTATTGTAAAGATTATCAACATAATAAAATTTCCGGATCATGTTTTGATAACTTATACTTCAATTTATTACTATGTACAATTTTATTTTATTTATTTTTATGGACAGTTCTAAATTTAGGCCAAAAAAATATCGGTTAACGGTTTGGATCCAAATAAGATTTTAGAATTTTGGTTTGGTTTGATCCAAACGGAATCCAACTTTGGTTTGGATTTGGATCAAAAATTCCAGAACTGAATTATTTCGGTTGGATTATTAACTTTTCAATAATTTTAAATCGAATCAAATATATAAATAGTCAAATTTTTGCATTGACAAGCACGTAAAGCCAAAGTGATGCAAGTAAACTAGGATAAAGGGAGCAAAACAAAAGCTTTCAATTTTAGGTGTGTTATAAGTAATGTGGCCCACCTTCCCCCTTGAGTTTCCAAATCCGGATTTCCTATGGGTTTAGAAATTAAAATGTTCTTAAACCAACACTAATAATGGGTTATATATATATATATGTATGTATATATATATGTATATATATATATATATATGTATATATATATATATGTATATATATATATATATATATATATATATATATATATATATATATATTCTAAACTCATACCTCATACCAAATTTATTTGAATCAAACACTCTCTTAGGTTTTTAGGTCAGCGTTCATGAGTGAATTGTAATTCAAAGGATGTAATGGTTGCTAATAGTTGTTACTCCCTACATTCTTAGCGCTATTCATAAGATGAGATAATATTCTATATTAAACTTAATGTATAAAACATAATATAGCCATTTTGGATTTTATTTGATTCATCTCAATGAGTAGATAATTCAATTATTATATTTTTAATTAATATGGAACTTAAGATATTTATGGTCATAATATTACATTGTTAAACATTCAATCGAAATGGGAAGAACTTTTAGGAATAGAGGGAGTAATTGATTAATGAGTCAAGTATTTTGTCCTTGGGTATCGCACTAAATCTCATACTATAATGTCTTTTATTTTTCCACCTTATATTTGTTCATTATTTGTATTTAGCTAATCCTAACATCAACAACAGCAATATCTAGTATTTTCTTTTCCTTATTAAAAGAGAGTGAATTGCACCAATAGATGGTCAACTCCTTGTCCATGGATCTTTTCCTCAAGTTGAATGAATTGTATCCCTATTCAGATGCTCTTTTGATGTTTAGACTTCTAACACCCTCTTAGAATGGACTGAATATACTACATCTGACATAGGACCTAAACAATTGATTCAATTATTAGGGTCTGCAAGACAACATACAACAGTAACTAAAAAATGAAGCAAGTAAAGAGATACACCTTGAAACTAAACACTGAGAAGGCTTGAAGTAAAAATTTGATGATACAAAGTTTTCAGAGTTGGTCACTAATAAAAAGAACGACCCATGAAGGTAAATAAAAGCATCCTGGATAACTCACATTATTTTGAGCCTTGACTTGATCAAGATCAAGTAAAAATTGGTTGTAGGCCTCTTTGTCAGTCAGAAGTTTCCGAAGCTCATCAGCACTGTGATATAGGACAGAAAAGGTTCCAAGCAAAAAAGGAAGTCAGCTAATGAGCAAGAAGACAAACATTAAAGGCCTACCAAGATCCCTGGGGTAATCTATCGCTATAAATATTAGTTCTCCATGATTATCACAGCTTCCTCCTTCCTCATGCACATTTTGGCATGGGATTCACATGGACATCCTCAAATCCATAAGTCACACTCTCCTACTTTATTTGGAATATTTTTTAATATTATGCCTGCGACTCTGTGGCTGAGGTAGAATACACATATATAGGGGTCTTTTCATATTATTAAATTACAACATTTATTCAATTGCAGTTAGAAAACTAGGGACAGAGCTATATCAGTATTTACGTTGTGTTCAGCTATACAGTATACACATTCCACCACAAGCTAATTAACTAGATATTAGAAACAAATTGGATATTAGGATTACAAATATTCTCCATCACCAAGCCTTAACCCACCCAGTGGCTGAACCACTTGGGTAGATGGAAATTCAAAATATCACTCCACCAATACCAATTCAGTCCTTTTCCATTATATGCCACACTTACATGATACAGCCAACGAGTATAAATAAACAAATCGACAGACAAAGATGATTACCTCTTATCCTTCAATGATGAAATTATTCTAGCAGCTTCAGCAGGTGAGACATGCGAAGGAGACTGTGGTCGTTCAAAAGGTCTCTGTACATTATAGCTGTTAGGAGTTGATGGCCGAGAATAACTTGAGGAATTGGCTACAAAGGGAGGGTACCATGATTGTGAAGGAGCATCTTGCGGACAAGATTGTGATTCTTGGTCCTGAGATCCCCTATAAGCAACAAACATGAAGGCCATTATGAAGTACTCCACATGGTAGATTGAATAGGGAAGAGCAACTAATAAGAATCCAACTTAGACTATCAAATATTATATTGTGTAGGACATACTAAAAGTCACAACATGATGATGTATAGGTCAACTTATCAATTGGTTGTTCCATGTTTGTTAGAAAGCCACCGCAATGGCAATCAAAAGTCACCCCATGATTAAGTAAAATTCATCCTAAAACTAAGTAAAGGAGGAATCCTCCTTTACAGTGAGCTTATAATTTCACTGATATTAGCAAGAAGATATGATTTTCATCTCTACAACAGAAAATCCTCAACAGGATTGATCAATTCATAAATAAAATAAATATATAAAAATAAATAAATACATACGAAATCTACAAACCCTGACATAACGTTTCCTATAATAAAATCTTATAGAACCAGACCTATAAGCTATGTTACATGGACTCGCATAGGAGTGTCGGGTAAGGGTAGAAATCCTAGAGTCCAATATGGCAATTCCAAAAAATTGGGACGCGGGGACTCCATCCAGGATTCGGATTCACGTATGGGGACACGGGCACACGACAATGAATGTATAAGCTATGTTACATGGACAAGTGTCCAGTGCGACAATTCCAAAAAATTTGGACATGGGGGACTATTCGGGATTCGGACTCGGGTACAAGGACATAGACACACGACAATTAATGTATAAAAATATAATTTAGATTTCATTATGTTAAGGAAGTCAAATAACAAAAACAATCACTAATCTTCTTTTTTACTATCAATAATATAATTAAACTGAAGAAAAAAAAATTTAAAAAAAGCCACTGTTAAATAAATACAAGAAGTTCTTCAAAATAAATAAATAAATACAAGAAAACAAATTGTCCACTTGTCCAATTTCCATAATAATAAAGGGATTTTCCATTTGGTTTCATTGTACTTTGGACTTTTCCATTTGGTACCCAATTTTTTTTTTATTCCACATGTTATCATTGTAATTTTGACTTATTCTCTATTCTACCGGTTAAATAAAAGGAAAATTTGTCAATTAAAAAACTTTTAAAAGCACGATTTTGAAAAAAATAAGAAAAATAAATAAATAAAAAACTTTTCAAAGCTTTATCGTAAAATAAAACCTAATTGCAAATTTTTTTGGATAAAGACAACCTATTGCCTCTAATTCACTTAAATAACCTCTAATTTATTTTAATTACCCTCTAACTCTCACTTAACCATTTAGTTAATTACAAATTAAAAATAAAAACCACCACACGGACCCCTCTCCTTCTCACAACCCACTTAGAGTGAGATGTGGTTGTGAAAGGGTGTGTTGAATTGGTGTATGAGTGAGAATTGATTGGCACCATTGATGAAGGAATGAGGGTTTTGCAGGTTTAAAAATGGCGAAAAAGAGGGGAGAGAGAAAGAAGGGGGGGGGGGGTTGTTTTATGGTGATGGAAGGGAGGAGGGAAGGGTTAGGGTTTAAGGAGGGGTGGGGGGGTTGTCGGGGGTGGCGACGGCTCAATTGGGGAAGGGGGGCTGCTGCAAGAGGAGGGGGGAAAGGAAAGGGTTGGTGGTGGGGGTGGTAGTTTTTTTTTTTTCTTTATATATATATCAATTTAATTATTTAATGGTTAAGTATTAAAAGAAATTAGAGGTTAATTAAATAAATTAAAGGTATTATATTGTCTTTAACAAAAAAAATTTACAACCAGGTTTTCTTTTACAATAAAGCTTTTAAAAGTTTCTTTTTTTACGCAATATAGTGCTTTTAAAAGGCTTTTTTTATTGTTTTTTACAAATTTTCCTATTTAAAGCATTAGTTTGGGGCATTTGTGGCCCATTTAATCAAATTCAACTTCAAAGTTTGATCCTTTACACTTTGTTTGGATTGAGAAAAAAGGAGGGAAAATAAAGAAAGGAAATGGAGGGATTGATTATATTTCATTTGGATAACAAATGAGGAAGGAAAGGAATTGGAGAGGGGGGAAGGGTTAGGGTTTAAGGAGGGGTGGGGGGGTTGTTGGGGGTGGCGACGGCTCAATTGGGGAAGGGGGGCTGCTGCAAGAGGAGGGGGGAAAGGAAAGGGTTGGTGGTGGGGTGGTAGTTTTTTTTTCTTTATATATATATCAATTTAATTATTTAATGGTTAAGTATTAAAAGAAATTAGAGGTTAATTAAATGAATTAAAGGTATTATATTGTCTTTAACAAAAAAATTTTACAACCAGGTTTTCTTTTACAATAAAGCTTTTAAAAGTTTCTTATTTTACGCAATATGGTGCTTTTAAAAGGCTTTTTTTATTTTTTTTTACAAATTTTCCTATTTAAAGCATTAGTTTGGGGCATTTGTGGCCCATTTTATCAAATTCAACTTCAAAGTTTGATCCTTTACACTTTGTTTGGATTGAGAAAAAAGGAGGGAAAATAAAGAAAGGAAATGGAGGGATTGATTATATTTCATTTGGATAACAAATGAGGAAGGAAAGGAATTGGAGAGGGGGGGAAGGGTTAGGGTTTAAGGAGGGGTGGGGGGGTTGTTGGGGGTGGCGACGGCTCAATTGGGGAAGGGGGGCTGCTGCAAGAGGAGGGGGGAAAGGAAAGGGTTGGTGGTGGGGGTGGTAGTTTTTTTTTCTTTATATATATATCAATTTAATTATTTAATGGTTAAGTATTAAAAGAAATTAGAGGTTAATTAAATAAATTAAAGGTATTATATTGTCTTTAACAAAAAAATTTTACAACCAGGTTTTCTTTTACAATAAAGCTTTTAAAAGTTTCTTTTTTTACGCAATATAGTGCTTTTAAAAGGCTTTTTTTATTTTTTTTTACAAATTTTCCTATTTAAAGCATTAGTTTGGGGCATTTGTGGCCCATTTTATCAAATTCAACTTCAAAGTTTGATCCTTTACACTTTGTTTGGATTGAGAAAAAAGGAGGGAAAATAAAGAAAGGAAATGGAGGGATTGATTATATTTCATTTGGATAACAAATGAGGAAGGAAAGGAATTGGAGAGGGGGGGGAAGGGTTAGGGTTTAAGGAGGGGTGGGGGGGTTGTTGGGGGTGGCGACGGCTCAATTGGGGAAGGGGGGCTGCTGCAAGAGGAGGGGGGAAAGGAAAGGGTTGGTGGTGGGGGTGGTAGTTTTTTTTTTCTTTATATATATATCAATTTAATTATTTAATGGTTAAGTATTAAAAGAAATTAGAGGTTAATTAAATGAATTAAAGGTATTATATTGTCTTTAACAAAAAAAATTTACAACCAGGTTTTCTTTTACAATAAAGCTTTTAAAAGTTTCTTTTTTTACGTAATATAGTGCTTTTAAAGGCTTTTTTTATTTTTTTTTACAAATTTTCCTATTTAAAGCATTAGTTTGGGGCATTTGTGGCCCATTTTATCAAATTCAACTTCAAAGTTTGATCCTTTACACTTTGTTTGGATTGAGAAAAAAGGAGGGAAAATAAAGAAAGGAAATGGAGGGATTGATTATATTTCATTTGGATAACAAATGAGGAAGGAAAGGAATTGGAGAGGGGGGGGGGGAAATGGACGGATTAATTTGTAAGAAACAAATCTCTCCAACAATTGAGAGATTTGGAAGGAAAACTCAGATTTCTTCCTTCCCCTTCACCTCCCTCCCCTTCTTTTCTTTCCCATTTCTTTATCCAAAAACATTGTTAGTCATGTTGACCCTTTAAACTTTAACCATACATTTTTAATTGAAATATGCGAATCGAGACTTTTTTTTTTACTTAAACCAAGACATTTTTGAACCTTTTTTTGCTAATTTTGAACTAATCGTTAAAGATCCCCTTAAAATCTTAATCGAGCAATTTTTATGGCACCAAAATCAAAGAATACAAAACAAATTTGATGGAATGTTAGGGTAGAATGAATTAATTACAACTATATTGTACAATGTGGAATCCAAAAGGAAACTAAGTACCAAATGAAAAATCCGAGAGTACAGTGATAACGTCATCTCTCTCGGCCTCTCCTCACCCATTAGTTTCACCACCCACTTTTGAGGAAGTATAAAAGGAGGTTTGATATGTATTTATACAAACATATCACACAAGATTGTTAAAGCACGTGGAATAAAGAGAAAGGTTGAGAGTTAGATGGGTGGAGCCCACCTATATTTTGGCCAAATTGTCATCACATAATGGGGACCTATATCATACAATTAGTTTATTCAGCGGTACTATATATTTAAATAGTAACACTGTATGCATATATAGTACAACTACATGCATTTATGGTATCAATTTTATTATTTAATCATCCAATGATACTACTCTAAATTCAGGATATGAATTTGCCCATATATACATGTAATTACTCATATACATGTAATTACTCATATAACATACATAACAGTTATACTTTACTTTAGGAACTGCTCCACACCTTTTCAATCTCACTAGATTTCGTATTTACAAGTGTATTTCTTATTATTCTTTTTCTTTTTTCTTGTTCTCTCCAACAACTTTCGACCACCGGCAAGGATTATACTGCCATGCAAGTCGCCTCACATGTGCGACCAAAAGCCCCAAGCTTTTTCTTCTGTTTTTCATGTTTGGATGAGCCAATAATTAGATCTAGAGTTTGTAGTTTTGTACAACTGCCGGTTAGAGTCCGAGTCAATGTAGAAAAAGGCTCAAGACTCTTTTGAAGTGAGGCGCACAATGTAAAACAATAAATAAATTTGCCTATGTGCGCCTCATGGTGCACCTCATGTGCCTTAGGTGCACATCTTTGAATGCACCTCACCTAGAGCAAAAAAGGCGTGGCGCTCTACTCTAATCGCATAACGCCTTTTTATACACCGGTCCAAGTGCATTCCGCTGAGTCGATGCCGGATTTCATACCCATGTCGATGTCGTGTTGTGTCGACAAGGGTATGTGATGAATTTTGCCAAGTCCATGTAATAGAGCCTATAAGTACTCAAGACAAGACTTCCTATTTAGGAGTATCTACTTTAGAGAAGCGCCATGAACCCTCAATAAACTAATAGCAAAAAAAAAAAAAAAAAAAATCATGTACGTCACGACTTACATAATCGAATAAATACATGGAAAACAATTAAAATAATACGAGAAATAAGAGCATGTTTGGTATAGAGTATTTAAGGGGTGAAAGGGAATTAATAACCACCCCCCCACCCCCCTAATCCCTATGATAACAAATTAACAAAATTGTTTCCCCCATTGATCTTCAATTAATCAATTCAATACAAGGAGTTCCTTTCCTTAGGTATACAATTACCCTTTTCTCTTCTTATTTTTCTTCACCCCGTTTTCTTTCCTAGACTCATACCAAAAATGCACCAAGTCAATATGCACAGCCAGCAAGCAAAATTATTTATTTCTATAATCCCACAACATAGATCTCCAATGGTTCTTTCTTTCCTGAAATCTCCAGATATAAACTCAAGTTTAATAGCACATCCACAGTCAAAACATAAAGACAATAAAGATCGCTGCAGATTCCAATCCCAAATCTCACACAGTGTTTCACGGACAAAAGCCCAAATCCCCAAAGTGCAAGATAATGATTTTCCATGAACTTACCACAGCTAAAGCACATAACTCAAACACTAAGACATGCTCAATATAAGGGGTACCAATTAAATATCTAATGCGAAAACTATTATGAAAGATAATACGAAATGTGAAACATTGCAGAACAGTAATAAATTACGCCCAAATGGGTAGTAAGACCCTATATCCCTCAGTAAGCATTCCCTCCCTCTAAAGTCCTTCCTCCACCAACTTCTAACAATCATCACTATATCACCACCACCTTAGAGCAACTCCAATGGTTGAAAAAAGGGACTAACTTGCAAATATTAAAACTCTTAAACTAATAGCTATACCATTGTTGCACATCTTGCTAATTAGCTTTGGCAAGCAAATTAGCTTTGTAGAGCTAATTAGCTTGGTAGATATTTATTAGATAAAAAATATTTTAAATTTAAAAATAAATTAATTTATAACTAGCTTAACCATTGGAGCAACAAATAGCTAGAATTGTTGTAGCTTAAAAAGATGATTTGGCATAACAAGCTATTATATGAATTAGCCAACCATTGTAGTTGCTCTTATAATTCAATATAACCCTCGAATTCATTCCCATCATTCCAATTGTTGCCTAAGGACCAAACTCATTCGATAGCTGAATACACATATAGGCAATAAAATAGACCCTTTCAAATCACGCAGTCCAATCATAAGATTTAATTTACTAAACCCTTATATTCCAATCAAAACTAAATACAGAAAAATCAAAATTACGATTGTTCATACTTAGAAAACCCTTCAAATTGGGTAATCGAATTCAGAAACGTATAATCGTACTAAAACTATCAATAATTCAATATACTGTACCTCACAGGATATTCAGTACAAATTTATGTTTTCTACCTGTCACAAAATCCAAAAAATTGATTAACATTCAAATTCATCTAATTCTAAGATTCTGATAATAATAAAATAAAATAAAATAAAATAAGCATAAATTAATTAAATTCGTTGAGCAAGAATAAAGAAGATCAAACAACATCCAAAATCCAAGCAAAGAAATTGAATTAATTGCATAAAGTAGGACAAAATCATATGAAATTACCAGAATTTGGTGAACATCGAGAATTGAAGCAACGAATTGCAATCGAGGTTTGGAAGAAATAAATAGCTAAAAATACCAAAAAGGAAAGAAATTGGAATGATACAAGAAGTTAGAATGATGAGTGATGAAAGAGAGAGGAAAAGTGAAGACGATAGAAATCGTCTACTTTCTCTTCTTTCTCCAAACGGAGTAATTTTGGAAAGGTTTTAACTCCGATTAAAATGGAGGTAGCTTTAATTACCTGAAATATCCCTCATTCTGTGAGGTTTACTTTATTGGCTTGTTTAATTGTTTTATTTTTTTTTATTAAATTGAATTATTTTTATAAACTTAAACTTGTTAAATATGGAAGAGAAATATAGAGATGAGAGAAATATTTTTACATTATGTATATTTGTCCATTTAGTACGGGATATATATACATGTATAATGTCTAGAGTTCCATTAACGGATAAGATCAAATACCCAACTCTAGAGTATTCTAGATGGTACATGGGATAATAGTCATCAACATTTAGATATTTCATAACACTCCCCCTTAGATGGTACATGGGATAATAGTCATCCACATTTAGATTTTTCATAACTTGTACAAAATAATACCTTATAATGCGCATAAGATGCTGCCTCGTTAAAAACGTTACCAGGAAAACCCAGTGGGAAAAAACCATGGTTAAGGAAAAAAGAGTGAAGCGCGCATTAGCTCCCCGTCATGATTACATCACTTGAGATCTTTAAGACAACGCAATCCAATGCCATAAGCTAACTTCTGAATGTGGCTATTGGGAGCGCCTTAGTAAACAAATCTGCCAAGTTTTCACTCGAGCGGATCTTAAGGACTTTTATATCGCCATATTTCTAAAGATCATGAGTGTAGAAGAATTTTGGTAAAATGTGCTACGTTTAATCACCTTTGATATACCCTTCCTTAAGCTGGACGTTGCATGCTGCATTATGCCACAATATGTTTGTATATGTTGAATTACAGACCTTAACCATACACATTCACGACTAGCCTCATGGATTGCCAAAATTTCAGCATGGTTAGAAGAAGTAGCTGGAATTTTTTGTTTCATATAACACCAAGAAATAGAAGTACCTCCACACATGAACATATAACCATTTTGCGATCTAGCATTATGAGGATCAGACATGTACCCTGCATCTGCAAAACCAATCAAACCTTCTTTGCATAGGTTAGAGAAAAACAAACCCTTATCTTTCGTACCTTGAAGGTAACGAAGTATATGCTTAACCTCATTCCAATGCCTTCGGGTGGGGAATGAGCTAAATCTTGCTAACAAATTTACTAAAAATGATATGTTAGGTCGTATATGACTAGCAAGATACATTAATGCCCCTATTGCACTTAAATACAGTACTTCAGGACCAAGAATTTCTTCGTCATTCTGCCAAGGACGAAAGGGATCCTTTTCCACATCAAGTGCTCTAATGCCCCTATTGCACTTAAATATAGTACTTCAGGACCAAGAATTTCTTCGTCATTCTGCCGAGGACGAAAGGGATCCTTTTCCACATCAAGTGCTCTAACAACCATAGGGCTACTCAATGGATATGATATATCCATAGAAAGTCTTTTAATAACCTTTTCTATATATGTTGAATGGTGCACAAGGATTCCATTCTTTAAGTGTTTAATTTGTAACCCTAAGCAAAGCTTAGTTTTCCCAAGATATTTCATTTCAAATTCTTTCTTTAAGCACTCTACTATTATTGAAATCTCTTCAGGAGTTACAATAATATTCAAATCATCAACATATACTGCAATTATGACATATCCTGATACAAATCTCTTTATAAAAGTACATGGGCATATAGGATCATTCTTATACCTTTCTCTCAACAAATACTCACTGAGACGATTATACCACATGCGCCCTGATTGTTTCAATTCATATAGAGATCTATTCAATTTGATTGAGTATTGTTCTCGAGAACTTGAATTTGCTGCTTCTGGCAGTTTAAACAATTTTGGGAGTTTCATGTAAATGTCATTATCCAGTGGGTCATACAAGTAAGATGTGACTACATCCATCAAGCATAAATCAAGTCCTTCTCTTATTGCCAGACTGATTAGAAATCTAAAAGTAGTTGCATCCACCACATGAGAGTATGTCTCCTCATAATCAATACCGGGTCTTTGTGAGAATCCTTGTGCAACTAATCGGGCCTTATATTTTACAATATCACCATTGTAATTTCTATTTCGTACAAAGACCCATTTTATCCCACTGGTATTACACCTTCAGGTGTACAGACTACAGGTCCGAATATTTCTCTTTTTTAAAGAGATTTCAATTCAGTTTCAATTGCTTCTTTCCATTTTGGCCAATAACTTCTTTGTCTACATTCATCAATGGATTTAGGCTCATGATCCTCATCATCATTCATGACATCTAGTGCCACATTGCATCCAATAACATCATCGACGTCGACTTAGTTTCGGTTTCATGTAATTCTAGACATGATATAATTTGTTGAAAATTCTTCATTGTTAGGTACCTGAATATCTTTTTCCATCATGCTTAAGGTCTCTTAAGGAGATCCTTCAAAATTAATTGATTCCTCGGTCTGGCCATTATTAATTGTTGCTCCTTTTATTTTCCGAGGATCTTTATCTTTGAAACCAATGGATCTACCACGCTTTAGCCGTGCTTTAAAATCATTTGCAACTTGGGCTTGTCCTTCTGGGACATCAATCTTAATCGGAGCATTTTCAGCTGGTATATGTGACTTTGTCACTTTCTTTGGGTTAGTATATGAGTCTGACAATTAATTTGCTAAGTTTTGCAAATGAATTATCTTTTGGACTTCCAATTCACATTGTTTAGTACGAGGATCTAGGCGAGATAATGATAATTCATTCCATCTAATTTCCTTTTCCGACTGTTTGTTTCCTCCCCCTAATGTTGGAAAAATGATTCATCAAAATGGCAATCTGCATAACGAGCCATAAATAAATCTCCTATAGTTGGCTCTAAGTACTTAATTATCAAAGGAGATTCATATCCAACATATATCATGACAGGCTCAAGTCATATCACCTAATCAAAAGTAATTCCTAAATCCTCTAACTAATGTAGATAGGGAAGTAGGGTCGAATCCACAGAGAAACGAGTCTTTCTATTCCTAATTAATTAATATACTCTAGATTATAAAGTAACCAAAATATTATTATCGAAGGAAACTAAACTACGAAGATTAAGAATAAGGAGAAAACAATGAATAAAAGGCCTACGGCATAGGTTCACCAATAAATAATATTCTAGGGTAAAACATAATAATCAATCATCAATTCAAACATTAATCAGATCATAAAGGGCTTTCGCTACGTATTACAATCACACAATTAATCTACCGGTATTAAATCTCATCTCTCGAATCTCGACTTAACCATTTATAAATTAACCTGCCTATTGAAACTAGACCTAAACATTAATTCTCATATGTCGAATCTCGAATCAATATTGTCAAACTCATGCATAAAAGATCTGCGCAAATCTAGTCATAGAGCACTAAATCAATCAATAGGAAATTAATCTAGCATTGACAATTAACAACAATAAATTACCCCTTCATATTATTTATGGATCCCCACAAACCTTAGAGATAGAAATACTCACACATAATTAAAACTAAACTAATCAAAACAATAAAACAAGACATGATCAAAGGAATAAATAAATAACTAAGATTATGAGAAGAGAAATTGTTACCAAAGAAATCTGGAATTAAGAATAAAGTCAAGAATAAATTATTAGAGAGAAACTAATCTAAAATCTAAGTAGAGAGAGAAAATCTAAAAAGAGAAGGTAATTAAAATTTCGTACAAAAAAATCGTACTTAAACCTCCCTAAAACAAATCCTAATTGAAAAACTAATCAGGTCCTCTAAAAACACGCGCCCGATCGGGCGAAGGGCCGCCCGATCGGGCCCGCCTTTTTCTCTGCGTACTCTTCTAAACAACCGCGCCCGATCGAGCTAGCAGCTCACCCGATCAGGCGCGCCTTTGGCCACGCACCAGCACAACTCTCGCGCGCCACGCCTGATCGAGCTAAGCTTGCCCGATCGAGCTAAGCTTGCCCGATCGGGCCCTTGCTTCACCTCGAGGCTTGGAACTTCGATTGGGCTTATTTCTTCGGCCCAATCCGGATATCGACTTAGGGTCTCGATCATTCGGTCCAAATACCTCGGTATCCCGATTACCGAGTCCTTAATCACCGGCTTGATGACTCTAACCGGCCTTGGGCTTCAAAGATGGTCGTGCTCCTCCAATCTCCATAGTTGATCCATGAAAACCCGGGAAAATGCTCCAAAAGTGCAATTTCCTACAAAACTCAACCAAAACTACAAAAACACTAGAAAACACCAATTAGTAATAAAAGTGGCTCTAAAGAGCCAAAAACACTACTAATTATGACCAAAGGACGGGGGTAAAATACTATATATAATCGACACATGTAGACACCCATTTGTGTCTCCCCAAAACCAAACCCGGTGATGAGTACCTTTCACATCGAATCATAATCGAATGAAGTGAAAGTGTGGAAAGTTTAGTGTTGCGGATAGTTTTAATTTCTTTTCTCTTCTCTCTGTTTTTGAAAACCTATTTTAAGAAAACAGCCAATCCAGTTTGGTTGGTCCATGATATGGGTCCAATAGTAGTGTAGTTGGATAGGGGTTGAAAAGAGCTTTCCGACGATATATTATAAGCCCAATTCCGATGAATATTGAGGAAGTTATGGCCAAATTGCTACACTGGGCCCGGTTTGAGCCTTATATGCGGCCCAATGATCTAAGGGAGGGCCTAATATGGATTTATCATTCCTAATGCAATTAGGAATGGTTTTAGTTTTCTAGATTCTTCTAGAAGGTTTTTTTCATTCCTAATTCAATTAGCATTGATAAATTGACTTTTGTTGACTTTTTAGAGTTTTAATCAGAATAAAAGAATTTTTTGAGGAAAATACGATTTTATGCTCCTGTACGGTTAATTTCTATTTGATTTTAGAGAACGCGTTAGAAAGTTAATCAGCGCCAAACGCCAGTTATTAGCGCCTAGCGCTAGCGTTAGCGCCTGGCGCTAATGTCAGCGTCTGGCGCTAACCTTGTTTTTGCGCGTCAGAACTCTGTTTCGATTTTCTATCTTTTTGGCTGATTTTCTCTATAAATAGCCTTCTAAAAACTCCGTTTTGAATCATCAGTTTTCACC